TTCTAGTCCAACCTCCATTTTACAGATGGAGAAACTGAAGAGACTTCTTTATCTCCCCCATCCTGCCCACTGTCAGAGCTGTAGATGGATTTTAGATGGACAACTTAGGTTCCCACCCACCCACCCTGGGTGCATTAAAATGAGTGATGCAAAGTATAGTTACTATGTTTTTCCAATTATTTAGATCTGACTTTATTTGTGTGAAAAGTGTTTTGTAATTGTGTTCATATAGTTCCTGGGTTTGTTTCAGCAGGTAGACTCCTAAATATTTTATAAATGTTTACCGTAACTTTAAATGGAATTTCTCTATTTATCTCTTGCTGTTGGGCTTTGTTGGTAATATATACAACTGCCAATGATTTATGTGGATTTATTTTATGTCCCGCAACTTTGCTAAAGTTGTTTATTATTCCAAGTAGTTTTTTACTTGATTCTCTAGGATTCTCTAAGTATATCATCATAAGTATAGTTACTATGATAACCAATTCCCTCTCCCAACTCAACTGAATTTTTCTTAATGCATCTTGGCCTGCTCCAGGCCATGCCTTCTCAGCAGCAATGCCTTCTCTACTAGGACCATCGGCCTCTTCCTCCAGGCCACGTGTAACCTGGACTTTGCCAGGGTCCCCAGCTAACGCTGAGCTTTCAATTTATCTTGCCCAGGCCCAAACTTCAGAACAGCTACCTTTGCCCCCACTCCCCGTGCCCTTAGGCAGCTCTCTGAATTGGGAGATGCAGAACTGCCCACCCGCATTGGCAGAGGGAATGGGGGGGAGTGGGGATCAGGGCAGGGAGAACAGCTCTCTTCTAAGGAAATCGAAGGTGAAGGCAAAAACACATAATGAAATGATCTCTATCTCCTGCTTTAAATCCCAAGGTCCGTTCTGGGCCCCCTTGTTCACAGACCCAGGCAAAGCACTAAACTCAAAAACTGTCTAAGGATAAAGAGTGTGACACATGAATCAACTTTTCAAGAAGTGAAAATGATAGGGGAAGTGATTAAGATAGTTACTAAAGTCATTCACAGATGGGCACTATTAACAATGTGGATATATAGTAGCTTCCTAGTTTAATTATTTTTGGTAACTAGGTGCTAAGCTCTGTTGTTTCCTGTAGGTTTCCTGCTCGCACCTAGTTAAGGCAGCAATCCCCAATTCAAGCATCGACCCTAAGAGCAAAGGCTCCTTCTTAATCACTCTACCACTTCCTGAAGCCCTCCTGGCCCTAAATACGATGACTTCTCATGGTTAGCCCTGAACCCCCAGCTGTGAGAGATGCCACGAATGTGGTACGTGCCTACGTGCTTGGGGATCCATTTCTTTTGACTAATTTGAGACCAATTTACACATGCTGTAAAGCTGGGCCCTAACCTCTGTTCCAAGAAACTCTATCTCTCTGCTGCAGGTATTTTCTCCGGCTGTCCCCTCACCCCCACCCCCCCCCCCCCAGAATTCTCTCCTTCATCTCCACCTCCAGGCTTCCCAGATTTCCTTCAAGTCCCAGCTAAAATCCCACCTTTTACAGGAAGCCTTTCTTAATTCTATGCCTTCCCTCTGTTGAGTGTTTTCTGTTTATTCTGTGTACCATTTGTTTGTACATACTGGTTTGCTTATTGTCTCCTCATTAGATGGTGAGTTCTCTGAGGGCAGGGGCTAGCTTTTGCTTTTCTTTGTATTCCCAGCACTTAGCACTGTGCCTGCCACAAAGTAGGTACTTTTGTTGTTTAGTGACTTGCCCAGGGTCACACAGCTGGTAAGTATCTGAGGCCTGATTTGAACTCAAGACGAGTCTTCCTACGTCCAGACCTCTATCCACTGAGCTACCTAACTGCCCCTACTATTAAGTAGGTACTAATAAATGCTAATGGACTATTTGACTGACTGACCCCAAATGGACCCAAAGGGACAGCAAAAACAGTTCAAGAAACTTATGAAGAATAACCTACTATGTGCAAAATATTGCTATTATGGTTCAATAACCTTATTAAGAACCACCATATATGCACCATATGCAAAATACTGCTATTATAGGAATAGAGAGCTATGACACAGACCTTGTTCTCAAGTTTACAATCTAAGGTAGAGAGGCATACACAAATAATTGTAATTAATTGCAACTAATTGCAAAATAATTGCAATATGTAGAAGACAGTGATAAGTACAAAGGAAAATCCCAGGCAAATTCCTGTGAGGAGTTTGGGGTGAGAAAGATGACTTCCCGGTAAAGGGATTTAGAAGTGACTGTATTCATCCAGACTTTCAGAGCCTGGGGTAGCCCTCCTCCCTCCCTCTCCAAGCTGCCTGCCCAAGCCTAAAAATCTGACAGTCTAGACAGAGCATGTGTCCAAAGGGGTGAAAACCCATGGAAGCAGTAAAGGGACAGATCTAACCCTGCTAGGACATAGGATGAGGTTCTTCCATTCCAGTCAGGCCAACTGCAAAGCCCAAAGCCCACGAGAAGAATATGAGACATCAGGGAGAGCTCTTTGCTCCCCATTCCTTCTCTGGGCCAGATACCACACGCTGGTGATCACAAGGTGCTGTGATCTAGACCTTGGATCATTGGAATATACAAAATTCCCTCTACCTGAAATACAGTAGCTCCCAAAATGATGGTAACTGTTCTAAGACAGTTGAGGACAGTGGACAAGGGAGAAAGAAAGGCCATTGACATATCCCCCAACCTGCTAAGATGGCCATTTTGCTCTCTCTATCAGAGATCCTATTGTTTTGTGAATTGCCCAGAAGAATCATCTGGGGCCATGATTCATTTTCTCCAACCTTGAACTATCCCAATTTGAAATTCCAGGATTCCTCACTCCCCTGTGACATGACTCCCAAGAGGATTTTTTGCATGTGGGAAATGAAAACAAGTTTCTCTCAAGTCTGCAGTTTACCATTTATTATTCAATTATCAGGAAACTCTGCTCTTCTCAACTCTTTCTTACCCCACCCCCACCCCTCGAGCCACTCCTCCCCCATAATCATCCTTGTGTCTCACCTCCTTTGGTCTTCACAGGATCACACAGGTTGTTTGTTCCTTTTTTTTTTTAATCATTATGTCACCTTTTCCCTATCTATCATTTTCTGGACCTCTTTGCCTGCAAGTGTGCTCAGGTCCTTGGTGGGGCAAGGCCCAACTCTAGGAGCTAGAATAATAGAAAGGTTCTTACATCTTCCTCTGTATAGTATACATTTGCTATTCCTATGTATATCATTTGTAGACTGTCGTTCCCATTTTTCCATAACACTGGGAGTAAATTCTGAGGTAAGGAGTAGAAATCTAGCCTCCCTATTCAAGAGAAACAATGGTTGTCAAGGGGATGTCACCTGTGAGAAATGATGACAGATGTGGCCTGTTTGGGATCAGAGGAATAAATGCCATCTGGTTCTGTCTCCTCCAATTCCTGCTCTGTGGATTTCCAGGTGCTTCTCCAGGATTTGGGGAAGGGTTCTGGTTCCTTATAAAAATCCTAGGCTCTGTCTCTAGAACACCCAATAGACAAAGGCAGTAATACACAGACAAAGGGATTCTTATGAACCAAGATCATCAAAGGTATTGTGGGGAATGAGGTGTTTATATTTTTCTTTTCCCTTTTTTTCCTTCTTTGACTATTGCCTCTTCCAGTACTCTCATCTAGAAAACTGGAAATAAGAGTGGGAGAGAAAGAAAGATGGAGGTGGGTGGTAAGCAGAGAATGCCCTTAATGAAAAAGTATAGGGACAGAACTCTTAGAGATGAGACTTCCTTCCCAAAGAGGAAGATGGAATGGGCACCTAGAGGAAAAGGAGATGGGTCTGAGTTCTAAGGAAAGGGAAGGCAGTTTGGGTGGTTGTGAGAGAAAAGGAGAGATCACCTTTTAGTTCCCTATAACTCAAAACTGTTCCTCCTGGTAGGCCAACTTATTACCAATACCACCCCAAAGATTCCAGTAAGTATACTACACAAGAGGGAGTGGTCAGTTGTTCTCTGGAGAAGAAATTACATTTTAGTACAGCTGTTGTTAAGGAAACCTACAGAAAGATATATAATCCTTTTTTTTTAAACAGAAGACAGTTTGTAGCCGAACCAAGTAGTTATGGAAACCCACTGAGAAGACCTTAATCTGCAAAGTCCTCCCTATGACATGTATTTTAAGTAAACTGTAACTTCAGAAGCCAAAAACCTAAGGTGGGTGAAAGTAAAAATACTCTTTACAGGTTCTTAGGAGGGATTCTTGCTATATAGGACATCTCTCACAAACTTTCATGAAATCACACAAGGATGCTTTGATCTGTGTAGGGAAATAACAGAAGATGACAAACCTTTGACTAGGAAGGTTTTCAAGTGAATTTTACCTGGCTCCATTAAGCCCAAAGTTTTGGAAAAGGCTTTGAATAGAAGTTTATTAAAGCAGAATGAGTTACAAATATCAGGGACTATACTAGTAAGAGGCTTCCTTAGTTTTGTTTAGGTGATCATTTTCTTGCAATGTTTCTGTGTGTTATCATCTTTTAAATATAGCCTTTAATAAATAAATTGTTAACTTAATAACAAGCTTTTTTTAAGTAATAAAAAAGAGATAAAGGAGAAAGTTCAGGTAAGCCAATCTTAGCAGAAAGTCTGTGGTTCAGGTCCATGGACTCACCAAAACCTCTCACCATCACTGCCTATTATTGCAGGTTTAGTTCTCTGAAATGATTTTTTAGAATCTTCTCTAAGTTCCATGTGCCACTTAATCTTGCAAAGTATGACAGCAAATATCACATGAATCTCTTTCTTTAGTCAGGAACCCAAGTCTGTATTCAGTCCAGTGCCCAGTGAAGGGTAGTGGGGGGAGCAGTAGTAAGCTCGGGAGATGATCTGTTAGAGATAACTAGAAAGAGGAATATAAAAGGAAATAGGAGGAGAACTTCTAAGGCAGGGGAGGATTGCTCTTTACCCACTTTGGAATCAGCCTTTTTAGGCTCCATCTCCTGAAACGTAGACACTGGGTGTTCTTCTCTATAGGGAAACACCCTATGCTGGGCATCATGCCATGGTCCTTCAAACACTACACCATCATTTTAGCTGGATCAGGCCTCCTGTGGTTTTTCATCAGTTTGAGAACCCCAAAGATAAATGAAGACATCTATCTTCTGGTGAGTATCAAAAGCAAAGTAGCTCCCTCAGATCTCAGTCTGGGAACAGGGCATTGCAGAGTTCGGCCTGATACAGGAATAGGCCAGTTATCATCCAAATAAGCTTACTGCCTCCCTGTACCTCTCCCCCAGAGAACAGGTAGCGACTTCCCTAAAGGGCAATTGGATATTAGCCCATAGCCCTTGACGTGATATTCATTTTGTACTTTTCTTGAGGGGGATGTGTTGGGGAGGTTAGGAACAACACTCTGTCCAATGGCCTGGTGTCCTTAGAACATTCCTACCATGGTGGCTCTTTGGCCACCATCCCACATTACTTTTCCACCTAGAGATCTTGAGAGAGGCTTCTGAAGGCTGAAATTAGTGTTATCCCCAGGAAACAAAGCGGTCAGTGGATCAGAAGTTCAGCTCCAAGAGTGAGAAATACCTTCTGGAAAACTCACATAATGTCGCAAGCAGAGTCTCCCATCTCACCTACCAATACCTGGCTGGAGCCCTGCCCCTAAAAAAAAGTGAGTGCATGAGTGTCATATTATCCCCAGATGAAATGGTGGAGTCTTAGGGAAGGATAACAGCATTAAGAGGGAAGACTTGGGGAACTGAGAGAAACAGTAGAGGGGAAAGAAAGAAGGGGTGGGGGAGGGAGGAGGATACTCGAAAGTCCCAGCTATGCTGAGAGATATTTGAACCTGTAGCTAACAGTATTCCTGACTCTGTAAACTTAAAGAAAAATCTCAGTTTAAACCAGTAATATCCAATCTCTTCCACTCCACCCCAAGCACACACCTTTCCTGTAGAGAAGTTCAGTGTAAGAAGTTTCAGAAAAACAGAAGAGACAAAAAGGAAAGATGAGATAGGAGGGGAGAAGGAAGAACTATGATTAGGGGAAAGGTGATTAAAGGGAGAATGAATAGATTCTATACAGTGTCCTAGGCTTTTAGAACCTTTTGATGGACAAAATTGATCTTAGCCATCCCTATGGATTGAGAAGACTGCAGGAAATGCCAACCTCTACTTAGGGGAAAAGACTTTCTTTTTGCCCTGCACTGCTAATTATGCTCCTTACTTGCTCCCCAGAAATTCTTACTGTGGGGCTGTCCTCAATGCAGAGTCCTACAGGAAGATATCTCATGAGTACTTTGAGGTCTGTGTTCAGAGTTTCCTCCAAGAATGAATTGAAGCACATCACAGTGCTTGTGCATCTAGCCGATTCTGACCCTGATTGGCTCAACGAGACGGTCAGTACCATCGTCAGCCACTTCACCCCACAGATCCTCCGAGGGCAGCTGCTTGTGATCCACGCCCCATCTGCAGCATACCAGCACTTGTGGGCCCAGCCGTACACAGTCTTTAATTTCTCTGACATAAAGTCCTTCCAGTCTAAGCAGATGTTGGATTATGCCTTTCTCATGAGCTTTGCTGCCAACCTCTCTGACTACTTCCTCATGATCGAGGACAACATCTGGTGTACCCGCCACTTTGTCACTACTATCCTGCAGGAACTAGAAGCCAGAAAGGATAAACCATGGACAATCATGGAGTCTGCCAACCATGGCTTAGTTGGCAAGCTTTGCCATTCCAGGGATCTCCCCAAGCTGGCAGGTTTCCTCCTCCTTTTCTACCAGGATGAATCCCCTGATTTGCTTCTCTTCCATTTCCGAAGCCTTCAGGGCCAGCAGGATCCCATCCATTTAAGTGCCTTCCTCTTTTACCATTTTGACAGCTACTCTTCTTTCTTGCCTCATGACCTCTACACATGTGAAATACCAGACAGTGAGAAGTTTCAAGAGTATAACTTTGACATTCCAGATAACCCACCTGCATTCATCTACACTGATATGCAGACTCTTCAGAACTATTTGCCCAAAAATGTCTATAGCCTGGATGAAACATTCTTTTTGGCTCCAGATGCTGTGCCTGGACACCAGCTGATTGTAATCCTGAATAAGAATTCTAATGTGATTCGGGTGCAGGTGCTGACAGGTACAGCTGTAGAGAAGCTGCAGAGTTTGGAGGGAAAAGTGGAGTTGGGTTCTAATCCCACTGGGGAATCAAAACATTGTACCAAGTATACCTTTCTGGGACAGCTGTGGGATGGGCAGTTGGACTGCAGGGTGAGATACAGACAGACAGGACACGGTGTGAGCTGTGTGCGACTTGTAGTGACCAGTCCTAAGCCATGGGTCCTGGTCAGACACATCAACATCTGGGTCAATGATGACGACTAGTTTGAGATAGAAGGAACCCAGCCTGGAGATTGAGTTGACATCGGTAACAGAGAATTAAAATCTTGAAACGAGCCGGGGCATTTATTTGGGTATTTGTCCAAGCTAGTGAAATCAAGATACAAGCCTAATAAGGGACAAAAAAGGACCTGTTTCTCTCCTAAATTATCCTTCCCTGAGGGCAACCACTCTCTAACCCAGCAGTGGGATGGCTCTGAAAACAGGAGCTCAAGGTCCCCAACTCAGTCTCAATATATAGACCTAGGCATTCCCCAGTCCTAGAGTCAAGTGAACATGAAATAGGCTTGGCTTCTACCCTTAACCCAAGAACCTGATTGACTGTAAGATTCTTCAGGGAATCTAGAAGGCCTAGGGAAAAAAAGCCCCACAAGAGAAGCCGCTAGAGGTTAAATATTTTCCCTACCCAGTAATAGAGCAACAAGTGTACCAAAGACCAAAAACCTTCCATTTGTACTCCTACTCTCTCAAGACTGTCTTTTCTGTTTCCTTTCTTTGACCTCTAAACCTTCTCCACCCCTTCCCAATCCCACAACAGTCTACACCGTGGTTGGGCAAATCTCAGGTACCAAGTTGCCTCCATATATGGATATTTTATCCTGTATTTTCAACTATAATTATTTTATTGTAAAATGTGACTATGTGGAGGTGAGTTTCTCTGTTAAACCATCACATAAGACTCTTATTAGCTAGGCAAACTGCCATATTGTAGCATCTGCTGAAGATGAAAAGGGATATCTATCAACTCCTTGGACTCTGCCTTTATCTTCTCGCTACTGCAGGCTGAGATGCACCAGATCTAGTGAACTGTGGGCAACTAGGCATAAATAAAAAGTGGGGTATCTGCGGGGCACAGCCAATAAGGGGGAAAGTAAATTTCTGCCAAGACCCATTAACAACTACATCTACCTCAACCCCTTGTAAGAACCTTTCCAAATGTCCCCCTCAGTCGAGCTTTCTTGGGAAAGAAGACAGTGAAATACATCAAGATTTGTCCCTGCTTTCAAAAGTATACCAGTTCTCATACAAGTTTGAGGAAAATGGGAACCTTCCCATTGAGGAGGAAATCTCAATCTTATGTTAGGGTGAAGGTCTGAAGTATAGCCTGAAGTTTCCAGCTCCTCCTCTTCCTATAACCTTGGTTGTGTGCATGGAGGGGGTGGGGAAAGATCATAATTTTTTAACCAGTTAAATGAACTTGCTTGTGCTTACTGGAGGGTGTGACCTTGAGAGCCTGGCCAAGGTTAACTAGGTTAAAAGATAAAGCACTCAATCTAATTCAATTCCACAAGCAATTAAGTACCTATGAGTTCTAAGCACAAAGACAAAAACAGAACAGTAATTGCCCTCAGGAAATAGTAGTCCAGGGAATTGGAGGTAGGGGTAGGGGGTGGAGGTAGGAGAGGAAAAAGTTCAAGTCAAGAAGCATGTATTAAGCACCTACATTGTGTCAGATACCTTGTGCTAAGTGGAGATACAAAGAAAGGCAATAATTAGTTTCTAACCTTAAGGAGCTCACTATCTAATAGGAGACAATAGGCAAAAAAATTTACAAGATGAATTGGAAATTCTCTCGGAACAAGCATTTATTAAGCACCTATTATATATCAGGCACTATTTAGCTTATAAATACCTCATGGAATCCTCAAAACAACCCCGGGAGCCGGTGGCTTACAGTTGAGGAAACCGAAGCAAATAGAAATGACATGACCTGCCCAGGATCACACAGTTAGTAAGTAACTGAGACCAGATATGAACTTGGGTCTTCCTGATTCCAGGTTCTATCTGATAAGCCAGCCAGCTAACTTTAAGAGAGAAGCTCCTTTCTGAAAGTTTGTCAGATCTAGTACGGTCCATAGAGTTCTCTCCCTCTTCAAATTTCCTGGTAAGTATGTAGAAGGAATGACTAGGATTAACCTGGCCAAAATTAATTTACTTAATTAATAAGGTTTTGGGCACAGAAGAAGTTTCCTCAGCCGTGGTGTTAGCGTTCTTGTGGATATTCATTTGAAATCTGGTTCCAGTGAGGAAGAAATCTTATTTTTTTCTTTTAGGCATTTGGGGTTAAGTGACTTGCCCAGCGTCACACAGCTAGTAAGTGTCAAATGCTTGGTCTGAGGCTGGATTTGAACTCAGGTCCTCCTGACTTCAGGGCTGGTGCTCTATCCACTGCGCCACCTAGCTGCCCCGGAAGAAATCTTATTGATGGTGAACTCTGTAGATAGACCTGGGTACTTTCATGCACACTACCTTAAGGATGATTGATTACTTCACAGTCAGCTTTTGAGCATTAGGCTTTGGAAAGAGGAGTTAGAGAGACTGAGATTATTGGGACCATGTCATTCCCCCTACTAAATAAACTCCAGAATTACCTCCAGAATCAAATATAAAATCCTGTTTCACTTATAAAGTCCTTCCAACCTGGCCCCTTCACATCTTTCCAGTCTTCTTACACTTTACTCCCTTCCACATACTCTATAATCCAGTGACTCTATGATTTTTGGTATTCCTTACACCCTAAACTCCATATCCTGATTGTACATTAGACCTTGCTATATTCCATGACTAGAATATTCTCCCTCCATACCTCTGTAATGAGAATTTTTAATTTTCTTTTATACTTCCTGTAACTTTTAGTTAACAGAAAGCCTGTCTCCTGTTAATATTAACCTCATCTGACCAAAATCTGTCTCATGGAATGTGGAAATTTACTTTAAGCCTTAATCATTCCTTATATAAGAAGCCAGAGGAAAAATCTCAACTGTCTTTGATTCCTTGATGACATGTATATCTTTTCCCTCAATTTAGCCTATTTGTGAATCTTCTAAATGTAGTTTAATCTGTAATCTTACTTGGTTTGCCTATAGAGTTTGTTTGACAAGGTTTGTCTCGATAGAGATTATATGAGATTATGGCTGTTTATCTAAGTTTGTTCAACTTTTATAACATTGAAAGAAGTATGCTATTATGAATCTGTCATTTCTTTAACTTTCATGGCCTAAGAAGAACATACAAGATTGCAATATGTAAAAGCATTATTTCTCTGTCTCTCAGATGTAATTTTGCCTATAAGAGGATTTGTTAAAACCCTAATGGTTGTTCTGATTTATTACTTTCTCTGAGGCCTGAACCTATGCTTGAGCGCAATAATAAAACCTAGGTTTTTACCTTCATAATTTCTGTGTGGTGGTAAATATGCTTTGGCAGCTGTTATCTACCACATGAAATGAAAGAGGAGATATTTCTCCCTTAACACTCCCCTCTACTAATTCTCCTAGCTTTCTTCAAAACTCATCTCCAAACCCATCTTCAGTCCTTTCTCAGTCATCGCTTGCTACCCACCCCTCATACATCTCTCTTCTTGCTGAAATGACACTATATTTATTGTATGTATGTACACATATGTATGTGCATGTACATGCATGGGCACACATATACATATTGTTCAGTCGTTTCAGCTTTGTCTGACTCTTCATGGACCCATTTGAGGTTTTCTTGGCAAAGATACTCAAGAGGTCTGCCACTTCCTCCTCCCGCTCATTTTACAGGTAAGGAACCAAGGCAGACGCTATTAAATGACTTGCCCAGGGTCACACAGCTGGTAAATGTCTGAGGCCAGATTTGAACACAGGAAGGTGAGTCTTCCTGACTGCATGCCTGGAGCTCTATCCATTGCGCCACTTAGCTGCTACCTACCTACTTACCTACCTACATACATATACTATATATTCATATATCTATATCTATAACATATATGTATCTTGTGTGTTTGCATATGTACATATGTGTGTATATACATGCCTCAAGATATAGGGGGGGTGTGTATGTGTGTGTATCTTGTAGAAAGGCCCAGGACAGCCATCTCTCATTTACCCTCCTGGCTCTTCTGACTCTCCCAGCTTTTCTGCCATGCCCCACATTAGGTACCTTTTCCTCTCCCCCTTTCAACTCCCTCTTATGTGTTATCTTCCATTAGAAGGTAAACTCCTCAAGGGCAGAGACTGTCTTTCTTTTTGCTACTACAGTATTTATATCCCCAGTGTTTAGCACAGTGTATGGTACATATGGTACATATGGCTTCTTATTTAAGGAATGATTAAGGCTCAAAGTAAATTTTCACATTCCATGAGACAGATTTTGGTCAGATGAGGTTAATATTAACAGGAGACAGGATACATTTAGATGGCCCTAAATAAGTGCTTGTTGACTTGTATGTGCATAGTTATATGTATATATGCATATGTTGCTTTCCTTATTAGATTGTGAACTTCTTGTGAACTCTTGCTTTTGCCTTTCTATGTATTTCCAGCACTTAGCCCATTTCTAGACACATAGTTAGTACTTAAAAAAAATAACATTTTATTTGGGCATTAAAAAATTAGCATTAAACATTTTAAAATGATCATTTGCCATACATGGCAAAATGTAAAATGATTGAAATATAATGAATATACAGCGAAATATAATGAAATAAATCATAAATCTGTATTTCATAGCACTTGATTTTTGAAAAAGTATATAATAAATTTCATATATTACTTTCAAAGGCATCTTGCTAGTCTGTGATTTCTTCTGAAATCCTTTTTGTTCTCTTCTATACATTTAAAAAAAGTTTTTGTGACCTTTTTTGCTAACCTGTCCTCCTCCCAATAATCCCTTTCAATTAAAAACTCAGAGAAAAAAAGCATTACCAATAAAAAATAAAAATCTACTTAGTCAACAAAAAACAGCAGTAGTTTTTTAGAGTTTATGAGTTTTTTAATTCTGTGTCTACAACTGGAATTGCTTCCAATACATCAACATTTAGATCAGAATCATTTCGAAGAGACTGATAATAGAGGAAAAAGGAGAAAGAAACATCAGCCCAAATCTCACCACCTCTTCTCTCTTCATCTGCAGAGATGTCACCAGCATTCACCTTCTGACCCTTTGAGATTCCCCTGTTTTGACAGATTCCCACTGGAATCAATTGGGACCCTGATTAA